CTTCGCCGCGGCGATGAGGAGAATGTCCGCACCCGGGTGCGTGAGGCTGCGCCACTTTAAAGCGATGTCGCTAGTTATTTCTCAAATATTCGATTTCTTCTGTTCCCTCCCTTCCCGGCCAGGCAGCTGCATCTTGTCCCTCTTCCAAAGCCGCCCTTGGCCGGCAGCTTGGAGGCGATCGAGGAGGGGAGAGCTCCCCCCGGGAAGCCCGGCTGCCAGCTGTCGGGCAGCGGCGCAAGGCAGGGCCCCCAGCGCCTCCTGCCCTCGGCCCTGCCGGCAGGGATGGGGGCAGTGGAACAAAAGAGTCTTACAGGAGGAGAAGTGCAGGGACAAAACCAGCATCAGCCTCGGGTTCGGCCTGCCCCCACCGTGGAGGTGCCACACAACCGGCACTGGGGGCTGCTCGTCCTCCCTGTTCCTGGGTGAAGGATCCCTGCTGCTGCTTGGCCCCGTCTCTCTCCCAGTACGGAGGCGCTGCCCCAGTGCCAGGGACTGGGGGCCAGGCTGAAGGTTCGTGGTCTTGCTGGGGGTCAGTTTTGCAGCATCTGCCTCCCCAGGTGAGGCTGGGTCAAGCATTGCTTTAGGTTGGACCAGAACAACAGATGTGTGGAAAGCAGTCCCAGTGAGAAATGGGGCAGAGACCCCCATGAGATTTCCCAGCTCGTTGCAGTGTAACTGTGCTGGCTCCTGAGCTTTGGCAGCCTTCCTGTCTAACCAGCAGGCTCCATTTGGGATGGAAATGCGCACTGGGGTCAGAACCAGCACTGAGTTTGTGTTTGAGACCAGGAATGGGACCAGAAGAGGGAGCAGGGCTCACAGGGATTGAGTTTGGAATGAGGATTTGGATCAATGATGCAGGGACAGGTTTGGGCTGGTGTGTCAGCTGCTGTATTTCCTTTTATTGAATAAAACACTGGTCTTCAAACAACCACAAGGAAGTTTCCAGATCAGATCCACATTCTGATGCTCTGCAAGATATTTTTCTGGCGGGTGAGGATGTGTGTGTGGGTCCAATCCACATCCCTAAGCAGACAGGATATTGTGCTATCCACAGCCAAGGCCTTGGGACAGAGGCTGTCACTCCTAGGCCACACTTGTAGGTAGTTCCCAGCAGCTACAGATGTGCTTGCTACTCATGTTCTAATGTCAGTGTAGCTGACATGAATTAATATGAATTATTCATATTATTATTATTCTTTCAGAACTAGACTCCCCAAGGCAGAAACGTGGCACATTCTGCCCATATGAGGTGCCCCCCCCCCCACCTCACTCGATGCTGGACACTTGAGAGCCAAATGATTTTTTCTGTGGCTCCTGGCACAGGTATGAAATCCCTTGTACAGAGCTCCAAGCAGAGCTCACTGCCTTCCCTGTGCATGCCTGCCTGTAAACTCAGTTCCTAGATTGTTCCTGTTCACAATCACCTGGACATGCACCAGACATCTCTGAGGCCAGCCATGTTTCCAGTCACCTCCTCAGAAGTGTCACCCCAGGGTTGGCTCTATGACCCTCACAGTTCTGAGAGCTGCTGTTCACCCCAGCTCGCCAGGTGCTGATGATAGACAGGACCAGGCTTTCCTGGTACCACTCATCAATGCGGGTTTGGCGCTGGGACCATAGGGCTGACCTCCACAGCTGGGCCAGGGGTTGGAGGGCATGGCCTGCTGGGCTGTGGAAATCAAGAGTCAGGCTAGAAATACCCGCTGGTGGTGCATAGACCAGTATCCTGAAAGGGTTTGCTTTAGGGAGGAAAACTCTACCCTCAGTCTGCTGTGCTGGATTCTGTCTGAACCCAGCCTGGGTGTTCGGAAAGGCCATGCCCAGATGGGTCCAGAAAGGGACGCTCAGCGGCACCGGGCTCCAGTGGGATGCTCCAGTAACGACAGGGCGAACAGTCGGACAGTCAGCCGAGGGGGTCACAGCGACGGGGAAGAGCAGGGCCCGGCGGTGGGGAGTCTGCAGCAGCGTTAAAAAATTCCCTTTACCAGTGGGTGTCACTGCAGGACAAGGAGCGTCCGGTGGCGGGGGCTGCGCAGGGGTCGGGACCCCGGCCCGGGTGGGGTAGGGGGAGTAGGGGGGGCTATGTGTGTCTCCCCAACACACTTGGTTGGACTCGGCTGTTGCTTTTTGGGTTCTTTTGGGGTTTATTGGGCCTGTCCTGAATCAGGAGGTCTGTGTGGGCTTGGCTCACCCCGCGTTTGTTTGCCAGCCCCTTTCCAGTCATGTGGGTCTCCCCAGAGACGCTCCCTTCCCTCTGCAGCCCCAAGGACCTGAGCAGTTGCTGCGGGTGCTGCGGCTGGACCAAAAGTTGGACCTGGCTCCTGCCAAACAGTAGGGCAAGCTTCACACCTGGATTTCTCACACACTCATGAACAATGTCATTTTTAGCAAGAGAAGTCATTTAAGGCCTGACTTTCTCCCTCCCTGGGGAGGTGGGAAAGGTATCCGGTTATAATTCACCCCTGACAGCATGGCAAACCCTACTGTTATTCTTCTAGTTATTTTAGATGGGTTTTATTTAGAGGCCTGCACTAAAACGAGGGAGCTGCATACCAGGGCTTTCTTTGCATGGAGCAGGTGATTTCTTTCCTCCTTCGGCTCAGGTGTGGGCAGGGTGGAGTTTGCCACAGCTGCTTCCTTATTTAAAGGGCAGATTGAGGCACAAACTGCTTCTAAGAAGGGGATTTGGGAAGTGTCAGAAGAGCTGGTATAGAGCCTTCCTCATCCTGGGAAAGGTAAGAAAAGCTGCTCCTGCAGTTCACTTCATTTTTGGTGTCTCAAACAGCACAGTTTAATGTTGTGAAGGACTTTCCTCTTTTAAAAGTTTGGCTGGAGATCTGGTGGTGGACAAGCCCTTGGTTCAGCGTTGCTTCTTTGTGTCTCTTGGCTGTGGAGGGGCCTTTGTAGGAGGGTTGGGCTTGGGGCAAAATCATGCTGGGCATATCTACCCCCCTCTGCAGTGCCTGTCATGGGCCCCCCTTTGAGCTGGGGTTGCCTAGGACAGCAGATTTCACCCCCTTGGACCATGAGGGGCTAAGGCCATCCTGGAGTGAATACACCTGAGCTCTTTTAGTGCTAGTTGAGATGACGGATACAGAGACTGAAAGCTCACACCAGACTTAAGTATTATCTGGTATAATCTGAGATACAACAGTAGATGTAAGAAGCAGACTACACAGGAGCAATTAATTATTCTGTTAGCAGTCTGCTGCACAATTAAAGCAATCACAGTTATTACCAAGTGGTATTTTCTTAAGGTGAAATTCCCTTGTGAGAAGAGATGGCTTTTAAATGTGGTACCTGTCTGAGCCTCTGCTGTCACCTGTTGGTGACAAGGCTGGGGTTTGGGTGCTGTGACATTGAACTGGTGTTGGTGGAGTTTGAGTTTTTTCAGCAACTGCTTGGAGAGGCTCAGCCCTGGGGACACCAGGCTCCAGCAGCTGTTGGAGTGTGAGCGTGGCACTGGCTGGGGCCAGCTCAAGAGAAGGCATTGCTCTGCACTGAGGCCTCAGCTTGGCAGAGTGCTTAAAGCAGGTGTTTGGATGCTTTCACGCTGGTGAGGGCTGTGCTGAAGCAGGCAGTGATGGGAAGCTTACTTGGCAACCGAATGAGAAGGACTGGTGGATTATGAGATATTACAGACTTGATATTGACTGGGATATGGTTGCATTTAATATAGTTGTTCAGAACAGACAGTGAAGACTTCCCTGTCTTTCCCTGTGGTGCCTGTACTGGTGAGAGCATTACCTTGAGTACAATGAGAATTGTGGTGACCAGACTGGGTAAGGTGTTGTGCATCTGCCATGAAGCAATGAACAGGCTGAGACAGAATAATTTCTCTCATATTGATAATTTATTTGGCTATATCTGTATTAGCATAACTTTTTAAAACCAGAGAGGAAGCCTATCACCTATGGTTATTGCATGGTCTAAGGGCTGTGGTGCCCAGCGCAGTGCTCCAGTCCTCCCTGCGTGGATGCTCTGCGGAAGGGGACCGTGTTTCGGAGGCACTTCTCAATGGGAGGCACTGAACGCCTTTTTACGAGCGTCACTGTCTGGAAAAGTACTGAGATGAGGCCCAACCTATAAGGAACAGAGCAGACAGATGATTGGTTACAGTGAGCAGCCGGCCAGAGAAAATAGGTTGTAGCACAAACAGGGAAGAGACTGCAGATTAGCACAAGGGGTTTTGTCTGTTTGGGAGATGTTGCTCCAGCTGAAGTTAAACACTTAACATGTTTAAAATTATTTCTGATCGACTTCAGGAGATTCTTGTTTTGCTCTAGTAACAAGGTCCTGTAGTCTTACTGTGGTGTGTGGGTTGTCTGTCATTTTCAAATGCTGGCATGCCTTAAGATGGACCCTGCAATAAGTATGACTTGTTTTCCACAACACTGGACTTGTGTGCTTCACTGAGGGGGGCAGGATGGGCTCAAAGCTCCCAGAGAAGCCCCTGTTAAGGTCAGGGACTCAGGCATGGCCCTGCCCAAAAAATGCATGAGGACCCTCTACCCAGGAATTGCCTTCAAGGTGGAGAGGGGATGAACAAATACCCATGGTAAATAAAGGAGAAGTCACCTGGGGAAAAAAGGTCCCAAGGCTCTTTAGGATGGGCTTTACACACAGCTGCATGCACCAAACCTACACAGGAGATGCAGAGTTACTGAGATGTGCAAGTGTCTTCATATATGGAGTGGGTTTACCATGGGGGGTATGGGTTTTACCTGCCCCAACACAATACTTTGTGCCATACATCTGCCTTGTGTGGATGTGCTGAGCTGCTTCCCCCACCCTGCTCAGGCTGGCTGGATGTCGAGTTTTGCATATGTAAAAATACACATCAGTCTTTGCCCTGAAAAGCTTGCTAGTGATCTCATTAATCAAGACAAACAAAGCATATTTAGCTATTCCCCCTCTCTGGAGGAAGGCGTTCAGGTACTTAAATATGCATTTGAGTGCCTAACTTCAGACAGTTGTTTCTGGATGTTTTTGCTTTCGCACAAGAAGCAGCAGTGACATAACCCCTCTCCAGGAGGAAAAGGTGGGGGAGGCAGAGCCAAGGGCTGCTACAGGAGGTGGGCAACCCCTGGGACCTGGCAGAGACAGTCCCCAGCTGGGCCAAATCCAATCTCCCACTAAAGGTGCTGGAGTTTTTCCCTCAGAGCTGGGGTTAGAAAAATCCAGTGCTTGCAGACATGAACAGCTGAGTTGCTCCTCTCGAACGTGCCCACCAAAGCCAGGAACTGGGCAGAGGAAAATTTCTCCCTGGGACTGGGTTGAAGCCACAGGGGAGGAAACAGCAGTTGATTCACTCCAGTCTTGGGACAAAGCAAAGCTCCCAAGTGAGGAATGTCACACTGAGCCACAACCGGCAGTAATTAAAATGAGCAGAGCCCTTGACAAAGTTGTGAGGGATGCCAGCTTCTGCCCTCTGCATGAGTAAGTGGGAGGCACCAGGTGTAGGACAGGGGACAAGTGCTATTTTAAAAAATGAGAAACCCTCTCATAATGAGGGACACCTGAGAAGTATGGATTAGTCCCAGGCCAGTAATTAGAGTCAAGATAAGGGTGTCCTTGGGTCAAAGGTCTTAGTATGACAGAGACTGGTGCTGAGAAGTCAATGCCAGTGATGAATCCTCATCTCTGATTCTTCTAATTCATATTTTAAATGATGAACCCAAAGGTACTTCCTCTAGAGACAGCTGATGATCTTTACCATTACTCTGATGTGGTTATGGGCTGTTATGCCAGGGTTTTGTCTGAATCCTGGATTTGGAGTGTTGGCTGTAGCTTGTTTGTAGGCACAAGTGTGGTGGTTTTCCTTGCAGAATGGTGGAGCTGCAATCGTTTTCAGCTGCTGATTAGAAGCAATGTTTTGCTGTTGATCTTTGCATTTGTTATTGACAAATTAAAACCTGCAGGATGCTTGCAGCTGAGATGTTGTAATGTCAGTGCTTGCTTCAAATAATTAGATGGGCAATGAGAGAAACCGTACCACTCCTGAAACTTAAATATGTATTTGGGGGATATTTTCATTTGGGTTTCTCAGTTATGATAATGTTGTATGATAATCAGAGGACTATAAATGATCGCTTGTCAAGCATTAGTACAACAACATACATGTTGCAAGCAGAAGCAGGTCTGTGAATAGAGGACTAATAAATCGCATGCGAGATGCAGATAGACTGAGCTGGTACAGGGAAGGCTGAGCTCCCCTGATGGCAGCAGCACAGACACCCCAGAGACTGAGATTTTGTGGGCGCTGTTGGTATTGGGCTTGGGGATGCTGAGGTGTGCGTGCCATAGATGCTGGGTGCTGTAAGCACCCTTGGGTGGTCAGTCAGCTTAGCTTCTGGGGCGAAATTTTAATGAATATAGCTGGATTAAAAGGTTTGTGCTGATTTGTAGGAGGTGTTAGGAAAGAAAAAGGCTGAAGCAGTAATAAGCAGCACCAGGCTTTCTTCCTGCCCTGGAAGGATCCATGCTTGGCTGCAGGGAGATGGGGCTGCAGCTGTTGGCTCTGCCCACCTGCTCCAATGCAGCTTCCCAGCATCATACGATTTTTCACTTTAACAACATAGCTGCCCCTAGACTCAGCTTAGTTTTTCCATCATCCACTTGATCAAATCCTTTTAGCAGGTGACAAAACACTTTCTTGAGCTCTCTTTACAGGAAACCAATCTCTGTTCCTTTTTCAAAACCTTCCTCATTTACAGAAGTCTAAAATCCTGGGCCTTTTAAGTCCTCTCCTGTTTGTGGTTTGTTGTTTTTTTTTTCCCCCCAAACAACACAAAACAGTGCCATGTTTGTAGATTTTTTTGGGGGGAGGAGGGAATAAAATACACAATACAGGAGAGGGGTAGGCTGTACACACTGACGCACACTGCACCGAGCATCCCCGTACAGACAAAAACCACGCGCGCGCACATCGAGATGCAAATGATTTCCGTGAAGCTATCACTTGTAAAGCTTGACAGAAAATAATGAGAAACACTAAATCTTTTATAAGGTCAACACTCAAGCAGCTGTCAAACAAGAAAAGAATTTAGCGAAAGATCCGCAAAAACTTCCATCGCCTCATTAAATCCAACAGGGCCGGGGCCCGGCGTGGTGAGGAGGCACCGGGGCGCCTCCGTTTTGTGTCAGTAATTTGCGGCGGAGGAAGAGGGAAGACGAAACAGCCAGCGCCGAAGGGGCCTTGGGGGAGGCTGGGGAATTGTTAGTGCGCCAGGAGCGGCCTCGGCTCCTAATTGGAAGCATTGGGCATTATCAACGGAGGATTTGCCTCGGCTCCCTGACAGCTCTCTAGGCCTGGAATGATAGCCCACTTGTCAGTGTAAAAGACCATTAAAAACAAACCATTTTGATTTAATTGGAGGCGGTGCGCTGGGGGCCCAGGTGAGGTGCTTCATCAGCCGATGTTGGCTGCTGATGCCTTTTTCCCCCTGTATTGATGGCTTTTTTTTTTTTTCCTCCCCTCCCTTTCAAAAACTGTCTAGGAAAGAGAAAGAGGTGCTGAAAGATCCTTCACAGCTGCATTGAGAGCGGCTTTCAATAGGGTTGTCAACAAATGCCATGACAAGTTAGAGAGAGGCAGGTATTTTTAAAACAGACGTTATTCTGTCCAAGATGAGCTGCACTTGGAGGTGTGTGTTGGATTATTAGGGTTACAAATACTGTGGCTTTTCCTGGCGGTAGCGTGCTTAACTGGTTTAATGAATGGGGTTGATTTTTCTTTTCCTACTGTTCTAAGAATGTAG